CCCAGTTGGTAAATCAGACCTCCCAGTCCCAGTTGGTAAATCAGACCTCCCAGTCCCAGTTGGTAGATCAGACCTCCCAGTCCCAGTTGGTAGATTAAACACCCCATTGAATCCCTTCCATTACTTGGCTGTAAATCAAACATGCAGTATTTAAACCAATAGGAAAACTCATCAGCCATATTTCAACCTATAGAGGGCAGCACTGAATTGCTTTTAGGACAATAACTACATAATTAAATGAAAAAAATCAGAATTTGAACAGTGAAAGAAAGAAATAGCCTTCATCAAGACTCAATTTCATATTTACAGCAGCTTAAAAACTCTGTTGCTGTTTTAAAATGTGGAGATGATATGGTGGAGCTGAGATGGATGTGTTTGACTACAAAGACCCTAAAGACCATAAAGACCATAAAGATCTTAGGACCATAAAGACCATCATTACTGTTGGAGCTTTCTTATGGATGCACAATCAATATTATATTCTATATTCCAAATATTAATTGGAAATACAGATTGTTCATAGAAAGCCGACAAACCTGACCCAGTTCCCCCTGGAGGAATAGACCAGCATCTCAGCACAGAGTGTGGAGAAGATGGAAGAACAACAACCAAGTCATCCAAACATGAATGATGCTGTTTATAAGCCTTTCTGATAAATATTAGGAAACTTGAAGTATTTCTAGAAAATGTGTTTATCAGGTTTCCAGCTCATTTAATGATTTTGATCAGGTGTAAAACAAAAATGTCTGAATAAAGAGGATTAAATGTTGAATTTCCAAGTCTGGTTCAGGAAGTGTCTGCACTGAGGCTCCAGGGATCAGAGCAGCGTTCCTGCAGCTCCTCCTGAATACAGACTCATCTATGGAGGAAATGATGGAACCTTCATCAAGTCTCAGCCAATCCTTTGTTATGGGATTAATGTTGTTATGATTTCATAAATCACATCATTACCGTCAGTCCTACCTTCACCTTTGAAAGGTAAATATGGCTGCGGCCCATCGCCATAGCAACACCTTTGTTACTAATCCAGATTATCAAATGGAGTGGCTGACTAAAGACTGGTCTTTAGAGGTCTGTTTCCTTTAATACTGAATGTAGGCCATTCATGTTCCAACTGAGGTTATTCGTTAAAAGCAGCAGATTTAAACGGATCCTATCTGCGCCTAAAGTTACACCAAAAAGATGTCCGATGTGTAAACAGCAACACTTAGCAACCTTTTCCTAATGCTTGTTTTACAGTGATGGCTACCCTGATAAGGAATACCTGAAGATGCTGAAAAATGTCCTGAGAAGTAAAGGTGTGAAGTAGAACCCTGGATTTGGAGGACGCAGGAAGCCCCGCCCTTCTTTTCCACCAACATGTTATCTATTCTACAAACTCTGAAACTATATCGCTGTATTTTATAAAAGGATAAAACTGTACAAATCCAAACCTGGTGAACAGTAAATGTAATTAAACCTGTGGGTGAATCAAGCTCTGTGTCCTTTTTATTAGACTGTCATTTAGTTCATTTCTACTGATAGTTCAGATCAGTTAAAAGCGCAGTGGCTCTCTGGGACATAGATCAGACATACTGCTCACCTGCGCTTAAACAAAACTGATTCTCTGAGTGGTTTTATCTTCATACTATAACATCATGGAGCCCTGAAAGCATGGCAGAAGCCTTGCAGGATTCATTTCACAGGCTGATGTCACCGTATGCAGACGATCCCCTGAATGATGATCTTGGTGGATAGTAAATGCAATGCATGTAAATCATTTCAAAGTGTGACCTACGTATCAAATATCATATTAATTAGATTAGAAAGGTCAATTCTCACCACCGCAGCTTATATTCACAGCAGCACATATATCTAATAAAACATAATGAAAGATTCAGGGCATTACATCAGCAGGATGTAAACGCTCTGCTGCAGCAATCACAAGAGAACAACTACTGCAATGTCTAAAAGGAGTTTCTTTCTTCAGGCATCACAATTATGTTTCCTCCTCTGTTTGAAAAGTCAGCAAATAGGGTGGTGAGTCGATCTGATCCCATCAGCTGAGCAGGCATGTTGGGTTACTGGTTGGATTCCTGTGGAAAAGTCAGGAGAATTAGGAAAACGTTGCTGGGTCTGAGCCCAGTCTACGGTCAACATGCAACGACTGGTTTTTATGGTTATATATGCTAACTTGACTATACCTGATGTTTATTGCCATTCTAAATAGATACACTAATAATGTTTGAGTAAATGTATTCAGTTAGCATTCAGAAACAGCATATGGTTACCTTTACCCTTCAGAGGGAGGCTAATTTTCCACCTCTTGTGCAAAAGAAGTCCTTAGTAAAGCTGGGAGTGAAAATTAACAGAGAATAAAAGTCACAAAATGTATTTTCTGGACTCTTAAATACATCCGCACCCTGCGAGCTGCCCCCTTAACATGGTGGGGTTGTTTGAGTGTCCGAATGATTCTAGGAGCTATATTGTCCGGGGCGTTATGCCCCTGGTAGGGTCTCCCATGGCAGAAAGGTCCTAGGTGACGGGTCAGACTAAGAGCAGCTCACAAGACCACTATGAATAGAATTAAACCAAGGACCATGATCTTGCTTGGTATGGCGGAGCCAGGGCCCCACCCTGGGGCTAGGCCTGGGTTTGGGGTTTGAATGCGAGCGCCTGGTGTCTGGGCCTTTGCCCACAATGTCGGTCCACCCTCCTAAACCCACCTCCTGCAAAGGGATCCGTAGGTGTCAGGTGCTGAGAGGATTGGGTGGCGACTGGTGACTGGGCTTGTGTGGGAGGTTGAGAGGTACAAGCCCTGGATCAACCTGGCTGTTGTCGGGCTCACCTCTACGCACAGCTTGGACGCTCCATTTCACTGGTGCTGCCTGTGGGGAGAGGCGGTGAGCTGTTGTGGCCTTGCTCGTTGCCCCCATCTCAGTCATCACGTGTTGGTGTTCACCCCGTTGAATGAGAGGGTCGCATCCCTACGCCTTTGGCTTGGGGACAGGTCTCTCACTGTTGTCTTGGCATATGGGGCCAACATTGGTGCAGAGTACCTGGCCTTCATGGAGTGCTTGGGAACAGTACTAGATGGTGCCCCAACTGGGGACTCCATTTTTCTACTGGGGGGCTTCAACATCCACATGGACAGCAACAGTAAGACCTGGACAGGGGTGATCAATAGGTACGGCCTCCCTGATCTGAACTTGAGCGGTTTTCTGTTATTGGACTAATCACAGTTTGTCCATTGCGAAAACAATGTTCCAGCACAAGGCCGTCTGTGAGTGTATGTAGGCATGTCCAGGACACCCAAGGCTGGAGGTCAATGATCAACTTTGTAGTTGTGTCATCTGATCTCTGGTCACGTGTCTTAGACACTTGGGCGAAGACCTGGTTTACTCTAACATCCAAGATCCATTCAGAGCAGCCCCCACCTCGGGTCATCAGATCACCTCTCTGTCATGCTAATTCCTGCATACAGGCCCCAGCTAATCAGGGCTAAACTACAGTTAAAGGAGGTCAGAATGTGGTCTGAGGGCGACATGGAGAAACTC